TTAATTTAGAGATATGGGTGGACTTCTTTTTATTATTTGTTAGTTTTAATTTTATGAATCACATTATCAGGGTTAAAAGATGTTTCTATTAATATTTTGAGCGTGGTTCCCAATTTGTAGGGGTGCTCTTTCCTTTTTTTTCTATGTAACTAGAAGTTTGGGAGATTGAGCTTGGATGACTGTGACGTGATTTGCATAGGGCCAAGGATACCTATTTTGGTGGGGAAGATACTGGTTCCTTTATTTGAAGGAGTTGATAGCGTATCATATTTGAAAGGGATTTCTAGAGTGGGGCAAATTATTAATGATAGGGATGTTGTTTTTAAGTGGGGTGGCATTCTAATCAGAAAGGATTGGAATATTTTTGTAAAAAATTTGTTTAGGAATGAAAAAAGATGGTTTATATGTAACCCCATATACATACAAATTGTAGATAATTTATATTATTCGTCATTTGATCTGAATGATGGCTAGGATCACTCGTCACGAGATTATGTCAAAAATATTGTTCGATCTTTAATGGTTTTTCTAAAACGTAGTTTTGAATAAAATTTCGAGCCTACCTTCTTCTTGTTGGGGTGCACCTAGCAAAGAAAAAAATTTGTTATAAAATTAACCAAAATGACGGGTATTCAGCTAATTTCCTGTTTTGGGAATTTTTTATTTTATTTTTATTGTGTGTCCTTTGTTATTAAGGGCCAACCTTTTTCAATTAGGATGGCCGAGTAGGGGTTACATGTAATGTGTAATGGTCATGTGTACCTTTGTTTTAATCGAAAAAAAAATATGATTGATTGTGTGCCCTTCCCTGGATGAAAAAATGGATTCGATTGTACAGGATCAAACCTATGGGACTCAAGGAATGATAGAAGGGAATAAAAAGAAAAAAAAGAAAGGAAAATGTTTATATAAGTGAGAGGCTCTAAACAATTAAATTAGGGCACACCTCACAAATTTTATTAGATGAGGTTCGAATATCCTCAAATTGATCAACTCAACCTCAAGATGCATGGACATAGGAAAAAAAAATGGATTCAAGTTTTGGAAATAGTACATCTTGTACTGCCTTTTTGGGCATCAATTTTAAAGCTTTTATAGATCTACTTGATTTACACTATTGCTGAAGCTTTAAATTTTATAATTAGAGATGAAAATATATTTCAAGACTATCACAAAGATTTTCAGTATTAAAACCACATTGCTCGACATTATTTGAAGGTGCACTTTACTTTGTGTTTATAGCCTCGACCTTATACAAACTGCACCCAAAAAGGAAAGGAGGGCAATAGAAATAAAAAATTGATCGACAAAAGATCTCTTGTTCTTATTAGAATATAAAATCGTCATTAAGAGCACCAATATTAGAATATAAAATCGTCATTGAGAGCACCTTGCCTTTTTTTAATCTGGTGCCGTAGAATTTATAAACATAATAAATAGAGTTTGAGAAAGCTTAATGTGTTGCCGATCCCGAGCCTTTGCCGAGCTCGAGTTGGAAGTTCAACTAGGGAATCTTAATTTTTTTTAAAAATTATAAAAATATATAATTGTACCATATTTATTTATTTATTTGTTCTATCATTTTGGCAAAGATTGGAATGTGCTTTGGCAATACTTATTTTTACATTTTCCCTTTTTTTAAAAATTTTTTTTTATAAAAATACCCATGTCACAACTCATAAGCTCATTTTTTAGAATCTATTTTTTGCTACTTTTTAACCATAATTATTTGTGTTTTGTTAAATATTTGCATCTATCATGACTTTTATGGATAGGATTAATGTTACAATTATTTTTGGGCTACAAATTGTACAAGGTCGACACTCAGCATCCAAACGACTTTCTTCATAACTAGCAGGCTATTTTGGAAACCCATATTCGTCTATTTTTTCTATGGCACCCCTCTAGAACCGAACCAGACTGGATTAAGCTCAATTTTGATGGTTGCTCTCTCAACAATCCATATGGGATGGAGCAAGTTTTGGTGGTCTTTGTAAAGATAACGGTGGTGACATTTTATTGTTCTATTCTAGGTTCATTGAGGGTGTGGGCCTTTTGGAGGGGACAGGAGTCGGGACTCCCAAATCATCATATCAGATCATATCCTAGGCTAAGAGACTCCTGATGCCCTTATCGAGGTGAGCCACGACACGACGGTCTTGCTAGAGCTGGTGCTTGTTATTGACGAGCGGTGAACGCACCCACCAACTTGACCTCGGCAACCTTTTGAGCTCGGATCCCCCCCCCTCCCCCCATGTTTTTGTTTTCTGGATTTCTTTTCTATAACCCTTTTTTGTACAACTTTGACACGCATTTTTGGAACCTGTAATGAGCAACCATTGTGTGTGGTGCGTGAATCCTTTTTGTAACTCTTTTTACATTCAATACAACGAGCAACAAGTAAAACTTTTGGCGAAAAAACTGAAAGATATGAGATGTGTGTGATGAGGTACATCAATGCCATTTGTTATTAAAACACAAGGGAAAATTACGTGTTTCATTATTATCAAAATTTCTAAAACTTTTAGTTATTACTCTGGGAAAGCTTTCTATATTCCCCTATAACATAGAAGTTCCATCTTCCTCTTATCCAACCGTCCATTTTTTAATGGAGGGCTAAGATTATCAAAATATCTAAAATGTTTAGGTATTACTCATGGGAAAGCTTTCTATATTCCCCTATAACATAGAAGTTCTATCCTCCTCTTATCCAACCGTCTATTTTTTAATGGAGGGCTAGGATTGTCCCAATCACACTGTCACGTCTTTACATTATTTTATTTTTAATTTTTTTCTATAAACTATTTTGACACCAACTTTTGGATGTTCATTCCTCTATTAAACTCGCACTAACAAAAAATATAAAAAAAATATTTTCAATAAAATAAAATGATCAAAATACCCCTAAAAGTTTCAATGGATATTTTGGTCATTATTTTTTTATCGAAAAATTATTGTTTAGATGCGCCCTAATGAGAAGATAACACATACCAAATTTCATATTCAGAAAATGTGTATTAAAAAAATTAAAAATAAAATACTTTGAGACGTTGGATCTAAGATCAAACGGTGAGTGACTCTTTCGACAAAAAATGGACAGTTGGATGGTAGGGGGAGGATAGAATTTATATGTTGTAGGGAGAACATAGAAAGCTTTCACATTACTCGTACGTCCATTTTTTGGAATTCACAACAATTTTTTTTAAAAAACAAAGACTGAATTGCCCATTTATTGGTTTTCAAAAACCGAAATGAGCATGATTTAAGTTCTTGAAAAACCGAATATGCCCCATCTACCCTAACCTTTTGATCTTTACTCGTACTCTCTGCAATTTTTTTTCTTTCCTCTCTCACAATAAATCTATGCAATTTTTTTCTCTTTCATCTCTCAGCCTCCTGCCCTTTGCCTCTGCAGCTTCCCTCTCTCTACTCTGAAACTTGCATATTTTTCTCATCTCTATTCGTCTGTATGGGGTTTCACTCTCCTGTCAGTGTTTCTCTCTCTAAGTTATCTTCCACATCTATTGGCTCATTGACTTCGACTCTGTAATCTCACTCTTGGCGTTTCTTTGGAACTCCCATCTTCTACTTATTGGTAGTTTCCGCCCTCTCTTTCTAGACTCACAATTTTCACCACTATCTTGGATCTTTACACCTTTTCTTCTTCTTGTGCATTTCTAGTTTCCTCTCTCTAACTGTGGAACTACCTACACCCTCTTTCTAGTTTTTCTTTTTGGGTTATCATATTTGGCCATGGCTGTGAGGAAACGGAGCAAGCTTCCACAAACTGCTGGCCTCGAACAGATCTTGAAACGGTGCTCATCGAGCTTGAGGAGAAAACAAAGGCCTGATTCTGATGAAAATTCAGGAAAATTTGGAGCGCATTTGCTTTGTGGTTCCAATTTCTTGCTTAAGCGATCCTGAATTTCAGTCACTCTTGCAAAGAGTAGAAGAAGAAATTGGATTTGAGGAATTACCATTCCTTGTGAGGAAATGGTTTTTCGCTCTCCGACCTCTTCCATGCTCTGTTAAGAGAAAAATTGAGTGTGTGAGAGAGAAATTGTTCATGTGATTTTGGCCCCATTGTGTGTGGGCATTCTTTTATGTTTTTATTACAGCTTGAGATGGTACGGAGTGGAGTGGTGATGCACTTCTCCTTGGAAGAACATTGGACGAAGGAGTTTTTCCTCAAGATGTTTGTAATATATTATATTTTCATGAAATTCTCTCTCTAACTTTTGTGAATATGTACAATTTTTTCTCTCTAAATTCTGTGAATCTATGAAATTTCCTCTCTAGAGAGAAGAGTAGGGTTCAAAAGAACATTACCTAATTTTGGTTTTTCAAAAACTGAAAATAGGTAGTTTCTATTTTTTTTTCAAAAAAAAATGATTATGAAGTTCAAAAAATGGACATGTATGTAATAATAGAAAAAATAAAATGAATATTTACATAATTTTCCCTAAAAAAATGCCAAATCCTACCTGAAATGCCCCATCTTTTGGGGATCATATTAGTATAATTTCCTGTTGTCAATATGTGGACTTGGGTGTCCATAAAGCAGACACGCCGTGTCATGAATGAAATAAAGAATAATTCTAAACATATTTCTACACAAGTTCCCACCATCAGAATGTCATTCATAGACATTATATCTAGACAATCGATGGCATCCTAAGCATAAAAAAATGAAAAAGAAAAAAAACTAAAAATAATAGAAAACCCTATTCGCACTTACTTAAATCGATGTGAACAATGCGACCTTTTGTTTTCTTATAAAAGAGCGAAATCCTGCTCTCCAATCTCTATAAAATTTTATAGCTAATTTTACATAATAGCTCTGGACCTGGTTGGGACTTGGGACAAGCCAGACCTGTAAGTGCCAACTAAGTTCTTGCCAATGGTTCTAAAGGCTTTCAAGGAAGCAAACGGATACCATGAACTAATTGTAATATGCAAGAAAAGATTGGGATTCAACACGAAAGTCCGACTGTTAAAGGTTTAAGGGATGATAAGGGTTTCATTTCTTTTTATATATAAGATGAGAAAAGGGTTCTCAGGTTTTCAAATGAAGGAAACCCCGACAGCTTATTTCAAGCAACTATTCAAGAGAATAATGACAAGAAACAAACCATAAAGTTCAAATGTCAAATCTCAATGCCAGTTTTAGTAATTCCGAGGGGCGACGTTCAACAAAAGGAAGCTAATGCACTGCAGAAAAACTGTCAAAATTCAAGTAGAACCGACAACGGAGGCATATGACTGAAGTAGCATGACAGCTTGCTCAGTGACTGCTCTATTTCTCACCTGTTTCACCCACCCACCAATAATGTTTTCTGCTTCGCTTCCATGCACACCACTCTCCAATGAATTGGCAGCATCTCCAAGTTTCCCCTCTGCTAATAACTTCTCCACTCGATTGATGACACACTCGATACCTTCTCCAGAGTCGCCATGTTCTTCTATCTGCAGACAGGAAGCTGAATGAGAGAGAGAGAGAGAGAATGAGTGGGGGGCGGGGGGGGGGAGGGAGGGAGGGAGAAAGACCTTCAATAAAGATGCAAGCTGAGCTAAACCATGAGCGAGCACACCACCACCTCCAGCTGGAATGAGAGTCAGATGTCGCAGGGTTCCTTTTAAGGCTTCAAGCTGAAATATTTTCCAGTTATAAAATAAGAAAATCAAGGACTTGTTAATCATCATAAAAAAAAGAAAAAAGAAAAAAGAAAAAAGAAAAAAGAAAAAACTAACTTCAAATGGCCATCTACATTCCACGGATTGGCTCAGAGATACATTACACTTTGAAAAAGTGGAAGTACAACCAAAATCAATGATTGTGAGTAGAGTATCACTATAGCCCAAATAATTAAAAAATCAAGTCCTACCCAAATTGCATTTTTTGTGAATGAAGGAACACAGCTAGGTCTCTCGTAAACTCTACTGCAAATTTTTTAGAAAACACAGAATCAATTATTACTAATTTTTTTCTGTGAATATACAAATTGAATAGCATGCAAGATAAGAAATAAATGAATATTAGATGGTGCTCCTCTTGAATATTCAGGTCTCAACAGGTCAAAACTCCACAGTTACATAACTCAAATCCATTGAAAGATATTGGCTATGAGAGCATGGGCTGATTCCAGTTCACATGGTCTAGAGTTTGGAACTAGTTCCGGTTACTATTTAAGTGGTCAACAACGAGCTCCTTCATGTAGTTTTGAACTCATCTGGTCAGTTCAGCTTAACACACAAAAAATGAAAAAGTCTCTGATTACTAAAAGCATACAAATCAGCAGTTCCATCTGTGAGCTCACCATAGACATTTGTGCTTCTTATCAAGTTCTGTACCCAGAAGAAAGTTAACTATAACGACTAAACAGTAGAAGTGGACTTTTATGTCAAGATGCACTTAAGAGTGGCGCATTTTACTTACTTTGCATACTGACTTTAGGCCCATTAGCCTCATTAACAGCTCTTACAAAATCCTTTCCAAGGTACTTGCAACCCGCGTTAGAGCAGTCCTCGGGTGGGTCCTCTCTCCAAACTGAGGGGGCCATTGTCAAGGCCGCTAGATCTTCGATGGGGTCTTCACAGCCCATGAATGCATCCACTCCAGACATCAGGCCAAAATCCCAGGGTTGGTCATCAAATTAGATTGGGAGAAGGCCTACGACCACGTGGATTGGTCGATCCTAGACGAAACTTTGCATCGGATGGGTTTCGATACCCGTTGGAGGGCATGGATCCAAGGTTGTATCTCGAATCCATTCTTCTCTATCTTCATCAATGGCTCGCCCAAAGGCTTCTTCCTGGCATCCCATGGTCTTAGACAAAGAGACCCCCTCTCCCCCTTCTTGTTTGCAGATGTAGCTGAGGTCTTTAGAAGATCCATTGCTAGAATGTATCAACATGGCCTCCTCAAAAGGTTCAAAATTCGTCGAAGGGATCCCACCATTACCCACTTGCAATATGCGGACGACACACTCCTCTTCTGTGCCGCGATCACCGAGCAGGTTGATTCCCTTCTACTATTCTCGAAGCTCTTTGAAATGACCACATGCTTCAGGGTTAATGTGGAAAAATAAAAACGGGGATTTTCTCTGAGGACCAGCTTATTAGTTCCCTCCCTGATCGATGGAGATGCAAGGTCGACAACTGACCCTCAACTTATCATGGTCTGGCTTTGCGCATAGGCAAACCCAAATGGGATCTCTAAATCGACAAATTGGACTGCAAATTGGCTAGATGGATGGGCAGGTTCCTTTCCTCAGCAGGCAGAATTACCATTGTCAAGGCAACATCTCTCTAACATCCCGGTCTTCCATATGTCCCTATCCCCCATGCCCACCTCCGTGGTAGCCCGCTTCAAGCAACTCATGATGAACTTCCTGTGCTCAGGAGACATCAGCCCCTGGAAGTTTCACATCATCCCTTGGGAAAAAATTTGCTACCCAAAACAGTTGGGAGGACTGGGCATTCGCCGTATCAACTTCAACAACATCCCCCTCCTCGGTAAGTGGTGGTGGGGGGGCATTCTCACCCAAGAGAACCACCTCTGGTTCGAGGTGCTGCGCCACAAATACCACTGTCATGCCCCCACCTCAGTCCCCAGCTGTCGGGCTAGCAATAGATCATCTGGCTTTTGGCGATCCCTTGTGTGGTGCGCCAACCTAGTCATGAACAATATTTGCTTCCAGCCCCGAGCTGGCAATTAAGTCAATTTTGGCACGACCATTGGTTGGGAAATACCCCTCTGAAAGACCTCTTCCCCAATCTCTCCTCCTAGCTAGCAATAGCTAGGCCACAGTAGCCGAGCTCTTCACGGCTCAAGGAACTGCCAGGCCCTGGACTCCCAACTTCCATAGGCCTATTGTTGATCAAGAATTACATGACTTCCTGGCTCTCTCCACCCTCACTCACAGAGGACGTTCCCCCCCCCCGCCCCGATGGCGAGGACGAGATCTTATGGGCTTCTGAAAGTTCGGGACAACATTTAGACTCTTCTTTCTACCACGAACTCCTCACGCCACCCTCTTTCCCAACCTTATCCCACCATCCATCGCTACTAAGGCTTGGCTCCCTTTTATCTCACCCACAATTCATGTTTTTACTTAGATTGCCCTTTTTGAATGAGTCCTAACGCTGAACCAACTCCAAATCAGGGGATTGCCCATCCCCAATAGATGCCCAATTTGCAAACAGGATGCTGAATCTAATGCTCACCTCTTCCTTCACTGTGAAGTGGCCATAGCTCTGTGGGGTCATATTCTGCAGCTGTTTAAATGGAGTTGGATAACCCAGATCGGTCCCATGTCTCTTCAGAGAGCTTCATCGCCCTCCATCACCAAAGCCTGGCATCCTACTTTGGCACGCATCTGTAACTGCCACATTATGTATGTTATGGATAGAGCGCAACAACAGAATTTTCCGAGGTGAGAAGGCTATGGTGGAAGCTTTAGTTGAGTGCATTACCTCGCTAGTCATTTTCTGGGCCACGCAACAAAATTGTTTCAAGCACCTTGGTTGTGCAGATTTCTTACCAAATTGGCAAACAATTCTTGCCCTCAGCCCTGGCCACATTCCTCGCTCATCACTCTGTACACCCCTCGAACCTGGCCAATCCAAGATCAACTTCAACGGTTATGGCATTGACACCCTCCCCTCCACTTACCTTGGCCTCCCTCTCTGCTACGGAAAACCCAAACAGGCCCAGTGGAGCCATTTAATCGATAAATTCGAGTGAAAATTAGCTACCTGTAAGGGCAGATACCTCTCTCCCGTGGGTAGAACAACTCTCAGCAAAGCTGCTCTCTCCAAATGTCCCTCTTCCATATGCCCACTTCAGTGGCTCACTGCCTCGAATAGTTGATGCGCAACTTCCTGTGGTCTGCGGATGGGGCATCCAAAAAATACCATCTCTTAGCCTGGAACCAAGTGTGCCAGCCCATGGCCTCCAGGGGTCTGGGGATTTAGAATTTTTTTAAAAAATAGCTTGGCTCTCTTAAGCAAATGGTGGTGGAGACTTGCCAGTCAGGGAGGTCAATTATGGCACCAAATATTGCGCCACAAATACCGTCCGCCCTCTCTCCTTGGTCCATCCCCGAGACATCCTTAGGGGTGGCAATGGACTCGACTAGTAGACCCGACCTCGGGTCCAGGAATGGGTCCAATTTTTGGAACCGACTCGTACCCGTAAACCGATGGAGATTAAATACTTTACTTAAGCCCTATTCATTTGGTTGTGTTAAAGATCGTAGACAATAAGAACTCGCAGTCATCTTTAGCTGTTAAACGACCAATCAGATGGCTTGAAATCTAATAGCGGGTGATTGTGACCTTGTTACCAATAATATGAGTATATGTTGGTAAAAAAAAGGCAAAAAAAAAAAGAAAAGAGAAGCACATGGTCTTAGGGTGGCAATGGACCCGACCAGACCCAGGACCCGACGGGTATGGGTATGAGTCCAATTTTTGGACCCAAATACTATTCGGGTCTGGGTCAAGCCGGACCCGACCCATTACGACCCCTAGACATCCCCATTCGGCCTCGAGGATTTGGAAATCCATTCTTCACACCCTTCATCTCTTCAGATCTCTCATTCGCTTTCATCCAAGGGAAGGGAAAAAAGTGAGGTTCTAGTTAGACCTCTAATTAGGCCATCTCCCCCTCTCCACTCACTTTCCGCATCTTTTTTGTTTAGCTAGGAACCCTGCAGCCTCCATAGCCAAGCTTTGTGCTGCCACTGGTAACTCAAGACCATGGAACCCTAACTTTTGCAGACCCTTGTGGGATGTTGAGTTTCCAGCCTTCCTGGACTCTACTCTCTCTTCCACTCCTTTGCTCTATCTCCCCATGGGGAGGACCAAATCATTTGAACCCTGTCCCCGTTTGGGATCTTCACGGTCTCATCTTTCTTCCACAAACTAAACTCCCCCCTCTCCAGGCAAATGGTGCATCTTCCTAGTTCCTACCATGGCCAAAGCCTGGAACTTCTTCATTCCACCCAGGATACAGGTCTACAACTGGCTTGCTTTGTGGGAGAGAGTCCCAATAGTTGAGCAACTCCAAAGAAGAGGTCTTCAAACCCCCAACAGATGTGCGATGTGCTTATTCGAAGAGGAGTCCAACTCCCACTTATTCATACACTGCCTTTTTGCGGGTAGCATTTGGAAGGACCTCCTTCAACTTTTTGGTTGGTCATGGGTCACCCAGAATCGGTGCCTCAACTATTCCAGCAAGCAGCTCACCTTCTGTTGCCTAAATTTGGAACTTTGCTTTGGAAGGCTACAGTAGCGGCCACTCTCTAGGAGATCGGGAGGAAACGAAACAACAAAATTTTCCAGGGCCAGTACTCCCACCTTCATAAAGTTAAGGAAACTATCAAGGGCCTGGTGATTTTCTGGGCTACCAACCATAACTGTTTCAAGCTCATCTTAGCCTCGCACTTTCATCTTAATTGGTCCAACATTCTCTACCATAGGTTTAGGAGGGTGCCTCGCTCCTCTCTTTGGAGGCCCCCTGAGGAGGGCCAAATCAAACTCAAGTTCAATGGATCCTCTCTGGGCAACCCAGTCTTGGATGCATACTTGGAGGGAGGCCAACCAAGTGGCTGACACACTAGCTAAGTAAGGAGCCTCAATGGCGT